TGTTACATTATATCACACAAGGCCACTCACCTTCTCTTATTTTTTTATTTTTATTTATTTATTTTTTAGAGTTTCATTATATAGCCCTCAGTAGAGTGCTGTGGCATCACAACTCATAGCAACCTCAAACTCTTGGGCTTAAGCGATTCTCTTGCCTCAGCCTCCCAAGTAGCTGGGACTACAGGCGCCTGTCACAATGCTGGGCTATTTTTTGTTGCAGTTGCCATTGTTGTTTAACTGGCCCGGGCCAAGTTTGAACCTACCAACTTCGGTGTATGTGGCTGGCACCCTAACCACTGTGCTATGAACACTGAGCCTCACCTTCTCTTCTTGACAGTCAAGTTCACAGGTCACATCATGTTTAAGCAAGAAAATATTAAAAATGAAAAATAAGCCAAGGATCAAGAATAAACATTTTAGGGCAGCACCTGTGGCTCAAAGGAGTAGGGCACCGGCCCCATATACCAGAGGTGGCAGGTTCAAACTCAGCCCTGGCCAAAAACCGCAAAAAAATAAAAAATAAAATAAACATTTTAATAACAAAAAGAAGAATTCTGAGAAACATCTCAAGCCAGAGTATCTGGTAAAAATGGTAAGGGTAATAAGATTATATTCCTGAAATAAAGGCTCTATCATAAAACCTCAGTAATATTTTGTTATTTCTTTTCTAATTTTTGTAAGTATTATTTCATTCTATTTACTGCTTTCCTTGCTTATATTTTCCTCCAATGAAGAATAAGGCAGGTGGAAAACATGTATTCCTTTAGAAAATTTCCCCTTGAAACATGATTCAATCATTATCTATTTTCTATTTACAGGTATCCTAAATACAGTAGAACCTCTGTAAGTTGGCCACCCAAGGGACTACAAAATTGGTTAACATACAGAAATGGTCAAAATAAGGAACTAGACCTACTATACTGATATGTACATGTGGTGCATGTCCAGTCTATGAAAATAAGGCCAACTTAGGATGTTGTCAGTGTAGGAAGGTGGTCAACCATGGAGGTTCTACTGTATAGATGACTTTAAAGTCCTATTTATTCAAGTATTCCAGCTTCCCTGTCCATTTCAACAACTGGGAGAAGGCGCCTGCCCTCTGAAGGGGAATCTAAGTGTGGAGTTTTATTCCTAAGCAGGCCCCTGGCAAATCTTTTATTCATTTTCCAAAGTTAGTTAAGCAACTCAGTAGTCACACCCTACTGATAGCTATGGTGTCAGTGACTCATGTGTGATTTAGGGCAATATGCTTGGGTGCTGGCAGAAACACAGATTTTTTTATGTAATTTGAAAAATTAAGATAGTAGTAAAGGTACAAGATTAACAGAAACCACTAAAAGCCATAAAAAGAAATCTTGATTTCATATTAGTACTTACTGCTCATTCTCCTCATCAACAAACTTTGTCATTAAATAGTTAACATGTACCTTAAGTTGTTAAGGAAAAACATTTGCAAAGTAAAGTTGAGCTTTGAAGTGTAAATCCAAATTTAGAATACAACCCTACAGTTATCAAAGTTTGCTAATATAAGGAAAGGCACTTCAAAAAATTCTGGTAGTGGCTTATAAATTAATTGCAAGCCCCTCTTTATACAGAGCCAATTTTCAGTAGCCCATGATAATGATGAACAACAAAGGAATTTTTTTTTTATCAAAAGTAGATCAAAACACTTGCTTCAACAGTTCAACTTCTGTGCATCCCTATCACACCTGCATGCGTGTATGATACACACACATGTGCACACATACTTTAATCCAGAACTGCCAAAAAGATGAGAAAGGAATGTATCTCACTTATGAGTGTGTTATAGAGAAAAGATCTTCCACTTTTCGGATGTAGAGCTCTGGGTTCAAATCCCAGCTTTGTTCCTTCAAAGCAATGTAACCTTTGGGGAAGTTGCTTTATCCCTCTCTGAACCTCAGTTTCCTTATTTCTAAAATGGATGGGAGGTGAAGGTGAAATCTTTTCGGCTTTGCATGGTCCTTGTGAGCTATCACCTGGAATAAACTGGCACAAGTGAAAGTAGAGCATCTTGAACTTTCTTGCTTCCTTGATTTTCTCTGCCCACCTCTCTCAGGCAGAAGTAACCAAAGAGTAGAATAGCTAAAAGGTGAAAAGGAAAGGAGAAGCAGTAGACCCAAGAGACTGAAATGATACACAAACTGGAGCTGGATGTCACCTTTCTCTCCTCTGCCTTTTGTCTTTTTTAGGAAGGGGCAAATTTGAACACTGAGTTTACTTTTAAAATCCCATTCTGGCCCAGTGTGGTAATAAGCACTTCCAGTCCCAACTACTTGGGAGGTTTAGGTGGGAAGATCACTTGAGCCCAGGAGTTCAACACCAGCCTGGGCAACATAGTAAGACCCTATCTCTACATATACACGGTGATCTTTTTTTTTTTTAGAAACAGAGTTTCACTCTGTTGCCCTCTGTAGAGTGCTGTGAAATTGCAGCTCACAGTAACCTCCAGCTCTTGGGCTTAGGCAATTCTCTTGCCTCAGCCTCCCAAGTAGCTGGGACTACAGATGCCCACAACACCTGGCTATTTTTCTTGTTATTGCAGTTTGGCCGAGGCCAGGTTCGAACCCACCACCCTCAGTGTATGGGGCCGGTGCTCTGCCCCGCCCCACACAGTGATTTTTTAACATAACTTTTAGCAGTTGTTTTCTTTGAATGTTAAATATGAGTTGTTTAGTGGCCCAAAGAAATCCCTTAGTAACAAGCTTACTGGGATGGTTTGTATCCCCTAAGAATATAGTTACTAGTCAGGCATTGTGGTGGGTGCCTGAATCTAACCTGGGGCAACAGAGTGAGAGTCTGTCTTAAAAAAGAAAACTTAGATGCTATATTGCATGTTATTCAGTAAGTAGCTAAAGTGCTAGGTATCAATTAGTATTAAACTGCCCTAAGAAAATATATTTTAAAAAATAGAAATATGTGAACAAAAACCCAGAAAGCTGTAATATAACTTCCTTAGATTTCCTGCCTTTTTTTTTTTTTTTTTGCAATTTTTGGCCGGGGCTGCGTTTGAACCCGGCACCTCTGGCATATGGGGCCGGTGCCCTACTCCTTTGAACTACAAGCACTGTCCCCTCCCCCCTTTTTTTTGAGACAGTCTCACTATGTCGCCCTGGGTAGTTTGCCGTCGTGTCACAGCTCACAGCAACTTCAAACTCTTGGGCCAGCGATTCTCTTGCCTCAGTCTCCCGAGTAGCTAGGACTACAGGTGCCCGCCACAACGCCCGCCTCTTTTTTGGTTGTAGTTGTTAGTCTTTAGCAGGCCCAGCCTGAGTTTGAACCCGCGGGCTGTGGTGTATGTGGCCGGGGCGACTCACTGGGTTACGGGCGCCGACCAGATTTCCTGCTTTTCGGCAGTTGTTCTAAGCTTGCTTGGAACCTTATTATGACATAATAATTCCGGGCGGCGCCTGTGGCTCAGTGAGTAGGGCGCCGGCCCCATATACCGAGGATGACGGGTTCAAACCCAGCCTGGCCAAACTGCAACAAAAAATAGCCGGGCGTTGTGGCGGGCGCCGGTAGTCCCAGCTACTCGGAAGGCTGAGGCAAGACAATCGCCTCAGCCCAGGAGCCAGAGGTCGCTGTGAGCAACCTCACGTGGTAGACGCCATAATAGTTCCGGCTGGGCGCCTGTCGCTCAGTGGTTAGGGCGCCAGCCACATACACCGAGGTTGGCAGGTTCCAACCTGGCCCGGACCAGCTAAACAATGACAACTATAACCAAAAAATAGCCAGGCGTATGGCGGGCGTCCCAGCTACTCGCGAGGCTGACGCAAAAGACTCGCTTAAGCCCAAGAGCTGGCGGTTGCTGTGAGCTGTGACGCCACGGCACTCTACCCAGGGCGCCATAGTGACAGTCTGTCTCAATTAAAAAAAAAAAAAGAAAGAAAAAAGAAATAATAGTTCCATGATGGGCCTGCCTTCAAGTCTGTGAGCCCTCTGATTTGGGGGGGTTCCCAGAAAATGCTACATCACAAAATCCTTTCACAGAAAAAAATAAATAAATTCATCCCGGGGTCAAACTCCCTAGCCAATCAAAATATTGCACCTTTGAAACTTGGGGAAAATCTCTAAAGAAAGAATAGCTTTAACTAGTGTGTGTTTGGGATATGGGGGTTCAAAGAGAAGGCCCCGTAAGTTCCACATGACTTGAGGTCACAGAAAAACCATCACCCATTTAGTGTTTTGATACCTGGAGGACACACGCTGAGGTGGCTGAGAAGTTCTCCATCTCCCCGCGGGATCATAACCCGTGGCGGAGGGACTGATGACATGTGGGGTCCCAGTTACTGCCCGGGCCGGGGGCTGAGTTCCCCGTCTCCACACTCGCGTTATTAAAGGCATGCAGCCCTTCCTAAATCAATGTAGCTTCCCCAGGTCCCCACCAACTGACGAGAAACCTTCACGGCACGCTCTGGAAATTTCTCCCAATTCATTTGAAATGTCCATTATTTCTAAATACATCACCGAGGGGCTCCGATGGATTGATTTGGACATTTTGAAACGAATGAGGAAGTTTTGCTTCCGTGTCGTTCTCGGGGTTTTTTCCCCAAATTGGCATTAGGCACAAAAATCAGTTGAGGAACGAATCGTTCCTCAACTGGGATTTAGAACTTAACAAGGGACGCGTCCCGAGCTTTGTGAGGAGAAGACCATTTTAAAATCGCAGTGTAGGATTTTTACCTTCTGACGAGAATACACCTGAAAGGAAAAAGGCCATCCCCTCGTCCCCAAACACAAAAACACAGCACACACCCCAAGCAGCCCGTTTCCTACCCGGCCAATACAATAATGCTTTGTAAGCTGAGAGCAGCGCCCGGTATAGCAGCTAAGTATAAACAGCTGAGAAGGATTAGGCGGTCGCTCCATTCTCATTTACATGAAAATCCTCTAAGCATCGTTTTCCTCGCTGGCTGCGGGCGCTTAAGGAACTCTTTTATGCCATAGGCACGCATACATTTGCATCCTTTGTCTTTACTTACCAGTCGAGGCTGTGGGCATGTGTGCTCTATCTCCTCCATGGTTTCTGAGGGAGGCTCATTGGAAAGGGATTTTGGGATACCTGTTTCTGACTCAGCATCAGTGGTAAGTACTGGCATGGCCAGTGACTGCTCCCTCCAGCTCTACACCCTCAGTGAGTCTCCTCCCAGGCAGAGAATGTTTTCTTTGTCACGTATTTTTCTCTTCCCTACCCATCCCCCTTCTTCCCTTCTTTCTGTCTTCCCTGGGGGAAGTAAAGAGGTTACCCCCCGCCCCTTTCTTTCTCGGAGAAGCCAAGAGACAAGGCCTCAGTTTATCACTATAACAACCAGACGGCACTAGAGCGGCTGGTGCGGGATACAGTATCCTCATTTGCATGGAGCGCGCTGGTTGGCTACTGTCATCATAGTACCACTCCACCGGGAAGCGGCTGGGCCCCATTGGCTGGCCCGCTGTACCCACGGGGCCTGAACTTGCTGCTTTTGTTTCTTCTGTTTAATTCATTTGCAAAGGTCTTGGTCCGTTCTGGGCTGAGGGACCCGGGCTGCTCTACCCAGATAAGACTAAACCGCTTCCTGAGGGACCCGGGGTGCCTTGAAAAAGCACATAGCAGACCTCCAATAAAAAAGGACCATGTCCTTGGCATGAGCATAAGATGTGCTGTAGTCGGGATATTTACCAAATAGGAGTCACCTTGAAGACAAAGCCACTTTTGAGCCTAAACTCACTGTGGCAATTGACAGCAGGCCTCTCTGGACATTCACTGTGGACACCTGAGTGTTCAACCCCTGGACTGCGTGCAACAAGAACACTGGCAGATCCCCCTGGGGCCTGCTGGAGCCCTGAAGCCTACCCCTGGGGCTGTCCCAGGACTAACTTTGAAGGAGATAGATTGTCTTTGACAATTGCCCTCCCCAGTTACTTCCTCCCTCTACCCCTCTTCCTCCTCCCCAGTTATTCTGAGTTTCCTCAAGAAAGTCTTGCTGTTGCTTGCTCTTCAATACACTGTTTCATGCACTGGTCTACAAATCTCTTTGCCCCATTTTACCAGTCCTGGGTCCCATTTCTTTCTTCCTTTTTTCTTTTTCTTTCTTTCTTTTTCTTTTTCTTTTCTTTTCTTTTTTTTTTTTTGAGACAGAGCCTCAAGCTGTCACCCTAGGTAGAGTGCCTTGACATCACAGCTCACAGCAACCTCCAAATCCAAATCAAGAGATTCTCTTCCTTCAGCCTCCCAAGTAGCTGGGACTACAGGTGCCCACCACAACGCCCGGCTATTTTTTGGTTGTAGTTGTTCTTGTTGTTTGGCGGGCCCAGGCTGGATTCGAACCCTCCAGCTCTGGTGTATGTGGCTGACACCTTAGCCACTTGAGCTACAGGTACTGAGCCAGGGGTCCCATTTCTTAAGCACCCTTTTTTCAGGCAAATACTCATGACAATCAGAGAAACATCCCACATGAGATGTTAAAGATGATATGCCTTAATGTCTAAATTGTCTGGGAACATCCACATTTTAAGAGGGACATTCTGAAGACACACACTCAAAGAATAAAACTTAACAAAGGTATCCATTCTAGTGAAATGTCACACTTTTAAAATTAATAAAAATCACAATAATTGATAGCATTTATTAAGCACAAGTACAATGCTAAGAACTTTACCTAGATCTTGTTTAATCTTCATGAGAACCCAAAGAGGTAGATCCTACTCTTATCCCCATTTTGCAGGTTCTCAGAACTCTTAAATAACGGAGCTGGGATTTGAAGGATTTTGGGGGGAGGGCAAGGATGCAGCAGGTGTTGTAAAAAAATAAACTAGGTAGGAGCCCTCTTAAGGCAGGTCTCTCCCTGGGCTTCTAAATATTTCACTTTTACTTATAGCAGTGGTTTACATCCAAGTGGCATTCAGTATCAGCAACGCCATCAGCAACATCACCAGGGAACTTGTTAGAAATACAAATTATTGGCTC